AAACTCTCGAACTCCCAACGTGATCATGAACTTGACTCCAGCGCAACTCCTGCTGCTTGTCTAACTTTCATCGTAGTTAATCCTGCACACTTATCTCAACACATAGATTAGACAACAAATGACAATTGACTTCATCATCAAAATCTGAGATTCAATATTTTCGTCCAAATAAAAAAAATCTCAGATAAAGAGTATGCCCTGTTTAATTTGTATTTAATTGAGGGTTGAGGGTCATTTCTCTTAATCAGTGGAAAAAAAGTGGATACAGTCTTCTATCATTAATTATACTTTCTCTTCAATCTTCATTCTCTCTGTCCAGTGAGGACTTGAAGGTTGATGAGAACTTGGTTGGCTTGTTTCACAACCTTGTGTGTAAATTTCCTGTAATATAATATTCTATGACTTGTGCATTCATAGTTGTTGGATACTACCATTCTGCTATGTTATTTGCTTGTATAAAAGATTGATGCATCTGATGGTTTGGAAATATTTTTCTCAAGGATTAGGCATTTCTTTAGCAGGATAGACGAGCAGGAATGAGCAGATTGCTAGTGGTGAGTTCATGTTCATGTGTGCAATTTGTTTGCTTTCAGATCACTCCACAGCAGATTGCTCTACTTGTAGCCTTTCTTTCCCCTCATTTTTCTGTTTTTGCATATACTATCTATCTTAAAAGTCATGATAAGAGCTTAGTTTGTCACCAACTCTGGCCACATTTAGTTGATTCCAAGGCAATGTATACTTTTTGGTAGGAGCAATGACCTCTTCTAGTGATCTTATTCACACTGTATAGTTTGTGTGAGGCAAAATGACAATATCATTTTAGGATGTAGTTTCTTCCAATAAATGATTCTTTTCTAACATTAATATAATCAGATGAAAGCATGGATGATTGCAGGTTTATGCAGTGATCCCCCAAAGGGAAGAAGCTTACTGAAATTATCAGTATATATTACTTCAAATGTCTAATCAGATTGATTGCCTTTTTAATTTTCATTATGTTAATTTTCATATATCAAAACCTCTTTAAATCCTTCCATCACTAATCTTCCTTCAATTATCAGTATATATCACTAGCTTTCTTCAGTATTAATTAGATATAATAATAATATTATTCCCAATAAATAGTTTTCTTGAGGAAAATGAATTCTCCATAACAGTTTAAAATGAAAACTTTTCTTCTTCTTTTTTTTTTTTTTGCTGCTTTATCATGAGCAGTCATCATGTGACTTCAAATCTCCTTTTTTGTTTGTTTATATTTTTTTAAGAAAATTGATTTACTCATTAAAATAGCCTATTTGCTTGCTGAATCATGAACTGGGAAATCAGTTTATTAATCTGATATTTTTACGGCACAGTAGCATAATTAAATGTTTATTTGCAGCAGATTTTGTTTAGAATTTATTAAGAATAATTAACCAGCCAATATTAACTAGGGATGCAAATCACAGAAAGATCCGAACCAGAATAAATCGGGCCCCAGTCGGGTCATGCTCTAAATGGATCCATATGCCTCTATGCCCGGTAAGAAATAGGAGACGATAGCGCAACGAGAGCGGCTTATCCACGAGGCCGCTCCACCGTGTCGGGAAGCTCACATGGCTCTTCTCCTCCCTCCCCTCCTCTACTTCGCTCCTCCTTCCTCCTCCTCTCCTCCGACGCTTTACCTTCCCGTTTCAGCTCGTCTCTGTAAGTGATCTTTGCTATTCATTGCAAGCTCTCTTTAGTGAAGTCTCCTTCTATGAGGTGAATTCGCTTTCGTCTGTATTCTCTTCTATGCTCGTTTTGGTTGTCCCCTTTCTTCGTCTGGGCATTTCTACAAGCACCTGGCGGATTTCGAGTTTTCACTTGTTCTTTTCGTTTTGGGGAATGTTTTCGGCTGTTCTGGTCTTGCCTCTTGGTGATTCTGACGTGTGATTGACCGTGGATTTCAAGGGGAGTTATCAAAATAATAGCTTTAGCCGTGAGAAAAATTAGGTTCTGTAATGCGTTTGTCATTATAACTTACTTTGCTCTGTACGGATTCGCATTGATTCGAACCTCGGAGGGTTCTTTCCTGCACTAGGTTGAGCTGAAATATGTGATTTGATTTGGTTTGCTGTGTCGTATTCTTTCTTGGAGCTCCTTAATTTCTGTGTCCAACAAGTTCCAATTTTGCGCCTTTATACGAAATAACGATTTCGTAATTCTAGTCTTTATTCAGTTTTCCTAGTCAAATCATTTTGATTTTTTGTTTCTTGCTCTTCATTGGAATGGACTAATTTGGTTCAGATGAGCTTTGATTGCACTTCTTTCAGCCTTGAGGTTGCAAAGGAACCTCATTCTTCAACCAAGATCCTTCGATGGACTGACTGTTTCGTTGCCTCGTGCATTCGCGGAGAGGAGGTTGACGATTGTTCATGCATCTTCGGAGACCGATGGGAACGAGGGAAGTGAAGCCGAGGCTTCTCCACCAGAGGCCTCTGAAACGGCTATGTCGGTGGAGAATCTTCCTCTCGAATCGAAGATGCAGCTAAAACTCGAGCAGAAGCTGAGGATGAAGCTTGCCAAGAAGATTAGGCTTCGGAGGAAGAGGCTTTTGCGGAAGCGGAGGATGAGGAAGAAGGGACGATGGCCGCCTTCAAAGATGAAGAAGCTTAAGAATGTATGATCGACAATACGACGGGGTGCAAGCATTGACTTTGCATTTCTTTGTATTGTGTATTATCTGAGTTCCATTGCATTTTGCTCCTTAAATGCATTGACTTTTCTACAAATGTAATAGATTCTTTGGCTCCGAGCAAAGTGATCGAGATATTACCTTTACCCAGTGTTTGCTCTGCCATCACATTGCATGTATTCTGCCTCACTAAGTATTCCCATGCTAGAATCCCTTGACAAATCTGTGCAAACAATATGTGCCTAAATATCCAGCTAACCAAATTGCAAACTTGTTACCACAGCAAAGAATTCTTGTTTAAGAACTGTGTAAATATGACCAAGTAGTAAGATCAAGTGCTACATTTTGGTGCTTCAAGGAAGTAGCAGAAGGGCAATAAAAGCAAACATTGGTCAAAAGAAGACTGCAATCACTGGAGAAACTTTCAAGGGAGGACTCCTATAGAATTATTTATTGAGGATTAGGAGGAACATTATCTGTTTTCTCTAGCTCTTATCCATTGGCCACATAATAAATGAGACATCAATCATCATGCCCCCCCCCCCTGTTTTTTTAATCTTTTTCTTCCTTCTTTTTCTTTGGGGATCTAAAGGAAATGGTGGATCAAAGACATTCAAATTTATTAAGATAGTGATAGGAAGAGCTAACTCTATGTCCTCCACTGAAAAGAAAAAAAAGAAAGTAAAATATATGATTTCATGGAGTGATTGATTCAGCCAACCTAATCCACTGACTCCCTAACTGTCTTGTCTTGACCAATATTTTTCACATCCTTAATGGTGATGGCACACATTTGGGAGGTCATTGTTCATCAAACCTAACAACCCTATCTCAATGCTCTCCATCTCCTCCGATGTTTCAGCCATGCTTGTTTTCTCGATGACGATGATCTATGGGTCACCTTGGAATTAAAGCTTGAAGCTTTGAGCCTTTGTGGGTCCAAAAGTTTGCCATCGTTACATGAAGAATCCTGATAAATCCACTTCAATCTTTGTTGGCCTCCAATATACTAACAGTCTCTGAGCTTGTTCACACACTTGGTGTGTCTCTGTCTCATATACACAGATTATACATTACTTTAGAGGTCACAAAGTGGAGCAGAGTGGTCATGATGGAGAATTCATTGAAAGAATATTTCTAGCATATTGCATACCCTTCTTTAATCTGCCCAACGTTTGGCTTAGCTAGTAGATCGACACAGTAGATGAGCCACAAAAGTGCTCATGGTAGGACATTCCAAGTGTTGTATGTCTTGAACTTGTCCCGTCATGACACAGACTTAGTCAAATTTGGGAGTAAAATGTACCTTCATGAAGTTGCTTCTATGAAGAAAACTTTGTGTAGGAATGACAGCTTGCAAGCAGCCATCAGCGTGTACTGTTGCATGATAAATAATGTTGTCATTCCTCGAGGACCTAAAGAAGGGAAATGTGGCATCTCCTCCACCTTTGGCAGCTCCACAGTTTGGTTCCACTTGCTTTTGCTTTCCCCATCTTTTACTCTTCTCCTCCTTTATAGTTGGTCTCTCCGGGGACCATCAGAAAGTTGAAACGGAGAAGAGAGAGAGAGAGAGAATGAGGGAGTTCAGCTACGAGGACATCGAAGCTGCCACCAAAAGCTTCGCTTCCGAGCAGTTGATCGGGAAGGGAAGCCATGGAAGCGTCTACAGAGGCAGGCTTACCGATGGACGGATCGTGGCGGTGAAGAAGCCATCACGACTTTTGAACGACGACAAACTCAGCAACGAGATCGACATGCTCGCCTCCGTCAAGAATTCGGGCGTCGTCGATCTTGTAGGCGTCAGCCGAGGCCCAACCGGCGGTCCGCTGCTCGTCATGGAGTTCATGCACCGCGGCTCCCTCCATGACCTCCTCCACTCGTCTTCCAACCCCCCCGCGTGGCCTCGCCGCTTCGCCATGGCACTCCAGCTCGCCCGCGCCGTCCTCTTCCTCCACGAGGCCGCGCCGGCGATCATCCACCGCGACATCAAGTCCGCCAACGTGTTGCTGGACAACAGGTGGAACGCGAAGCTGGCCGACTTCAGCATCGCGGTTCGAAGAGACGACCGCATGCAGCCACTCGACTCACCGATTCCGGCGGGCACCATCGGTTACTTGGATCCGTGCTACGACGAGTCGGGCGAGTTAGGCCCCAGGAACGACGTGTTCAGCTTCGGGGTGGTGTTGTTGGAGCTCGTCAGCTGCAGGAAGGCGATGGACATGGAGCGCGATCCATCCTCCATCGTCTCGTGGGCTCTGCCGATTCTGAGAGCAAACCGGCTTGCGGAGTTATGCGACGGGAAAGTAGCGTTGCCGGGCCGCATGAAGAGGCCAATCCGTCGGATGCTAAGCATAGCCGAGAAGTGTGTCTCGGAGAAGGTGGAGGGGAGGCCTTTGATGGGGGAGGTTGTGAGGGAGCTGCAAGGGGTGGTGGAAGACGTGATGCCATGGCCAATCTTGGGTTCTGTGAGGAGCAAGGTCTCCGAGGGAGTCCATAAAAGTGTTCGAGCTTGGAGAAGGTGGGTCGAGAAGAGGGTCAACACAGGGAAGAGTGTTGCGTGCAAGGATTACCTGCTTGATGATGGTGGGGCTGATGAGTGTGGTGATGATGCGCATGGCAAGCGCTTGTTGATGTTTTCAGCTGAGAAGTAGGTGCTCATAGCTTGATTCCAGCAGCAGCCTTCACACACACTGCATGAGAATGAGAGAGAGAGAGAGAGAGAGAGAGAGAGAGAGAGGATAAAAGCCACCAGGCAGTAGGAGTTAGTTCTGAAGCATTTCTGGTTAACGCATAAATACTATGTACATATATAGATTTTAAGGTTTCGGTTATTGATATGTATACTTTAATGTTAAAGCACAAATACTATGTAAAATCAACATATTTATCTAATTTAATGTTGATGCTTTAATAATAAATAGTTGCTGATTTTTTTTCTCTATGTTTTTATTTTTATTCCTGGAAGTTGAAATCTTAAGAACTCACAGCACCTTATCAACCTCATAAAGGCATTTGGAATGAATTGTTAATGCTAGAGATGCTAGACTGTCATGCGCATGACAACTCCACCCATTTCTGTGGTAGGATACTCGGGTGAAAGACGGATGATAACCATGATTGCAAGACACCCCACCAGAATTCCAAAGCGCACCAGAAGGAGACCACCCTAAAGTGGAGCTGCAAGACATAGGGTTTAGGGTTAGGAAATGTCAAGGATCCAGCAGAACCAAGAAAATGAAAACTTTCTCCTTCACACAAAATGATACAAATGTAGAAAGCCACATTTAGCCAAAAACCCGACATACTGTAGAGAAATCATGTCCATTCAAAAAACAAAACTCAGCTACCCTATTCTGCATGTTAGATCTTAAATTAAAACAAATGCGGAAAAGAAATCCATTAATCAGCAGACTATAATCACCATCGTAGACACTACCAACTTTCCAATGCTAATGCGACGACAATTTATGCCAGTAAATGATGAGAATCAGGGATGCACACCTAACACGAAAAATAAAGTTTCACATTCATTCAAAAGAAAAGAAAATTGAACTTACAGAAAACACCTAGAGGAAATTGACGAAATATATCCATTATTTCATAATATGCAAAAAGTTAATGTCCATGAAACAATTTTTGACCATCATGTAACAACAAAGAAAGTACAGCGCCCTATATGACAGCTTAAACAATGTCAGTTGGGCAGGCGCAGATGAGCTGTAGCAGAAACCATGCATCATTCTTACAACAATCATTTAACAAAACCTACCTCCTATAGAGTACATGAAAAAATAGATAGATATTGAAGTAGAATATCCTTGATATCATACCATATAAAATATTCTAAATAGCAGGTGCAAAAGATGAAGGTGCATAAGATGACTCAAGGAAAAACACCATAAAACCATGGATGTATATCAGTCAACAACAAATACAATGAAAGAATTAATGTCCACCAGAGCACCATTAACAGAGGGCATTACTTAACATACATTTTTTGCTTTAATATCAAACAAAAAAATTAATTTGGAACAACAATATTGGTAAAACAACAAATGGAAATCCACTATCCATATACAGCAACTGTCAAATTTTACTGTACAAACCAACCCTTCAAAGTTCCCCACATTATCATCCCTGGTATAAAAGGGACCACAAGCACAGCACCACAGAATTTACATGGACAAAGCTCTGATATAAAAGCAAATATCTCCAGGAATGATTGTCCTTGATATCAGAAATTCATGGGCAGTCCCACTAAATAAAAAGAAAGAGAATTTGGAAACTGTAGGCACCACTGTTATTTTCTCATGGCTGCATTCCCTTGCTGGAGAGCATCACTGCAAAAGAATCAATGATGGGGCATATACACAACAATGGTTGAAAGGTTACTTCAGAGTAGAAGTCTATGAAAAATTATCAGCTACTAGACACGGAATTCACGTCTAAAAATCGTCAGATTTTGGGTGAACTTGTCCCTGTTCTTCGAATCCAAACTCCTTGTCACATCAGCCATCAGCTTCTCAAAACACAGTGAAAGACGTTGCTGTTGATCTATAGGCTGCATATGCAAGGAAATTCAATCATAGGATCACAGGTATTGGATCATATAGTTGCTGGAAAAATAAGAATATAGATACACACTAAATAGTTCAAAATGTCTCATCAGAATAGGTAAGTCCCAAGTCCACTATCTCTATAGGAACAAAGCTGAAATGCCAAACTAGACATATTAAAATACAACAGCAGAGAAAGAAAAGAGACAATCAACCATGTTAAAAAGCCCAAGGGCAAAATCAACAGTCAATGACAATATTTTAAGCACTTATTTAGGATGGGGTAGTAATGACAACAGAAGTAAAGACATACATTAGAAGAAAGCTCAATGTTAGCACTAACCTGTGATGCCAACATCTGTATTCTCAAATTTGTAAACATCTGCAGATAGAAGCAATGTAAAATCTGAGAAACATCTCAATGCAACAACAAATCTAAGCACTTTGAGATGCAGAATAATAAGATATCTTAGAATTGTTTATTTCAGAATCAAATTTACTACAAAGCACAGAGAGTTGTGCAGAGTTTAATTTGTCCAAAAATAAGTACATCTATTTTTCCATGAAATATCATAGAGAACCGATGCAAAATAGTTTCTGCATGAGAAATGTGATGGACTGTGTGATGCGAAAATAAAATAAGGTCATGCCTGATTTTTTAAGATTTCACTATTGCTGGGTGACGAAAAAGAACAAGAATGAAACAGCAAACAAAATGGATATCATTAATAGGTTACTGTGATAGCAATAGTATGGAAGATGAAATAGGAAACAGTGATAAAACCATCAAGAATTGCAGAGACCTGGCAAATCCCTTGGAACAAAAACAGCGCTCCCCTGGATGAAACATCATGCCTTCAATAAATTGGCAAGATTGATGACCAAGGAAACAATGAACAAAGATCCTAGAAATTGACCTTGAAGTGGCTCACATATGGAAGATCTAAATCCACTTCCTGAAGGATTACAAAATAAGGACTGCCGCACCGCCTAAAATAGTATGAAACAGGCTGTATCCACCGGTTTGGGCATAGACCGATATGCGGACCACTACCGTTTTGGGCAGACCAGCCCAAACCATGATGCCGCTGCCATTGCTGTTGGATGTCGCTTGCCCGTTCGCCAGTGTTTATCTCTCTGGTACACGCCCTCCTCTTCTCCTTTTCCTTCTCCACCGCTCCATTTGCTTCCTTCTTTCTCCTCCACTACTCCATCTTCTTCCTTCCTCTTCCACTGCTTCCCCTTCTTCCTTCTTCTCCCTCCTTCCTCCACTGCCCCTTCCTCTTCTCCCTCTTTTTCTTCCTCTCTGAAACACCGGTACCTACCAATGTACAATGCATACCAATCCGATCAGATCACCAAAACCAAAATGGATCCAATACCCGAAATAGCGATCCTTGTTACAAAATATGGTAGAGATGGTAGAAGCCATCTAAGATTCTAAATACTCACAAGACATTACACTAGGAACTTGATGAATAAGGAGTCAACTATTATTGCTCAGGTATCCTAACTTGGAATGTGTTTTTACCTAACCAACATTTGGAGAATGATGAGACAGATGATCTACCATGGACAATGGTTAATTTAGATCATAGCACACTGTAAAATACCTGCTCTGAAATATGTGGGTATAACAATATATGATGGTTTGCAAGGTCTCATAATATAGCCTCCTCTACTCTATTTTTCACTCTCTTGTTTGATTATCTTATCCCCTCACTTGCAGTAATCCGACAAAGCATTACCTACACTAGTTGTGGCAACCTATGCTGGAAAGTACACATATTTTGATGGGTAAAAAATATTTAAATACGTACTCACTAATATAATGGACCTACAGCAATTTCTAGGTCTATGAGCCAGCATAGCTCTTTTGCTATACCATGCCAATCAACACATACTGTTTAAATTGCAGTATGGACCCACGATCTAAATATATGTCCATAGTTATAATGATGGAATCAAATATCGTGACACACTGACCATACTGGTCCCATGTTGTAGAGGTATGCTTGTGTACCAATTATAGTGATAAATGTGGACATTTTAATTATTTTTTCTGCTGTGTAATAAGGCATATTGTATTATATCATATGTAATGGCCTGAGAATTCTGGTACAGGTACAGGTAAAAGTATCGTAATCCTTGCTTCTAACCATGTAATAAGAGTTAGATCTAAACTTTGGGTTTTGCAATCAGATCATGACAAACCCAAAAGGGTATAAGCGCTTGGCAAAACTTGTGTACATTGCACTCAGCTCCCAGTCAACCAAACAGCAGATTTATAGTCTCACCACTCAGCCAGTACAAAAAGTTCATATTCAAGTTCACCATTATCTCATCCAAGACAAGGTTACATGAAACTTTATTTGAGATGATATCATGACAAATTTGTTTCACGGATTATTTATAAACCAGATGTCAAACTAATACTGGAGAACATGCACGCAAGCATCCACATGATGCTTGAAGCCTTGAACTATCTATCCTACTCGTAAGATACACAATGCAAAACTTGGGACACTCCTGTCTTGACAAAGATTACTCACCACTTACCACTTACCAGTCCACTTGCACACCGTTACCATAAGAACCTTTATGTATTAGAATGTCAGGAAACTGTATGTCATGCATATTGATCTAGTGTATCATAGGAAGTGGTAAAACCTATAAATTCAGTAAAACCTGGTGTTTCATGATCGTATGAGCCATCCATAGAAAACATACTGCTCATTTTAAAGGAGCACAGTCATTTGTGTCACTTTCGCTCCAACAATTCGATGCCTCAATCTCAGTAAATATTAATATACTATTACAACGAGGAAAAGAATACCGAAACGAAACAGATATGCTACTTGACAGTTTTAGTCAAAGATGGTGCATTGTGACTCACAAAAATAAGCAAGAAATTGAGAATTCTATGTAGTATCTTTAGCTAGATAACATAATTTACATGTCTACCTTTAGATTAGATATCAAGGGAAATTGTAACAAAAACAATTACCATAAACTTTATTCCATTTTATGAGATAAATGCATTTCAACAACAAATCCATAACTTATTTTCCATGGAAAAAATATTTCCACAACCAGTTATACAGTGGAATGATATAATTACTTGGCATGAAATTAAGCATGTCACCTGCTCATTTATCAAAATCAAGCTCAGCATTGGTCTGCTAAGACTCCATTGGTTGCCACAGTCTTCAAATAGGACTATCTCAAACAAGGTCCTGAGTATCTGAAAGTCAACTAAACTGTTATGTGAAAATGCTCATATAAATTGGACTAAACAAGGCAAGAATACTAGAGGAAAAGAAACAGAAAAGTATTGCTCAACTGTCTACTAGCTTGACGTTCCAACAGATGCTAATCACTAGACAAGGTGTTAGAACTAAAATACATTGGACCTTTCCTTATAGCTTAAGTTTTTAGGATAAGTGGTTACCATTATAAATTTTTATCATGGTACGTAAGTTTAAATCATGTATCAACTCCTCTTCATTTTGTGTAATATTTAATTAATATTTATGTAATTTAACTTGCACTATGTACTTGGGTTCAATTCATGTGTCAAGCCTAATCCGGCTTACACATGAGCAAGGATGTTAGTTTATATATCTATATATCTATATCTATATATATATATATATAGGGACCTTCCTTAATAGCCTAAGCTCTTGTGATAAGTCATTACCCAATTAAAAATCTTTATCATATGAAAATCATGAATGAACAACTAAAGCCCTAAATAACATTATCGACAACCATAAAGAACAGTTGTCACCAGAGCAAGCAAAAGAACCATATGATGGGGCATTCTATGCCAAGTTAAAATGACAATCAAATCATGTATAAGACAATCAGCACTGTTCTTAGTTCCAAATTGACCACTGCTAGAAACACATTTGTTGAGGATAAAACAAACAAATTAATATTATAATGATCTAACAAGAAGCTGCTGAAGTTGCAACATATATCATGTTAACTGTCAGACAAAAATCATTATTTTCTCCTCATTATGACTTATCAAACATTGACAAGTTTCTAAATTATCACATAGAGAGAGAATTCATAACATGAGCCAAAGCAAAAGTCACATTATCTGGCCTATGATAACAGAAAAGAGAGATACAAATGATGGCATTGGATCTAATTATGTAAAAAAATTTTAGGTTTCATGCAAGTTCTGTATACAGAAAATTGAGGCAACCCAGATCAGCAAGGTTAGGAGCACCATGAGTAGGATTTTCTAGATGTATCAAATATAAATTTTGTGGAGAACATATGCATTAGCCACATGATGCACTAGATTAAGCCATCCGATACTGATCCTCAAAAATCTTGATATTGTTTTAGCTTCCACTACCTTCATGCTAAAACTTTTATTGACTTTGAAATGTTCCAAAATGTTTGAATGCTTCTTTTAGCCAAAGCAAGAGATTTAAAGTACTGAAAATTTACAAATTCCAAGTCTATTATCAGAATCAAGTTTACTCTAATATAAGTGAAATTCTGGCTCCTAGGATATGGTAAATAAAAAAAATCAGTAAGCCAAGAATAAATACCGGCTTCTGTGATCACAATACAATGTTTTGAGTAGTTTAGTCTACATAAACATGGGTCCATCAGAAATAAAAAACAATAGTTATTTGGAACATATTAAAAGATAAAAAATAAAAATCTTCTCATGTGCTGGTACATTGCAGTCCTCCCCTTTATTCATCATATATCTTCCCTTCCCTACTATCAAACTTTGTTATCTCTCATATACTTCCATCCTTTGCTATTGCTGAAATCAGACCTCTTAGATTGTTTATTTTGAAAATACTTGTAATATCTATTAGTGTTATCCTATAATTTACTGGAACAATTACACCAGGACCAAAGATCATTTACTTAATGCAATTGCAACTATCAAAATATATCTTTTTCGAGCATTGCATTATGTTTCAAGAACAAGAAAATCCTCCAGTCACCCAAACCTTTGTTACAAGAAAGGAGATTAAAGAGAATCCATAAAGGTAAGTAATAAACTAAAGAAAATTTATATTTTAGTTTAGTGATTCAAGAAGTCAACACAATGATGAAGTTGAATTATAACATGCTTGAGATATTTATGAAGCAGCACAGCTATAGTAGATTGGTTGAAGTTGGACTGTTGGAGTGTTGGACCACTACCAAATATGCAATTTGAAGCACCTGAAATTGCAATCATTTAGGTATCATCCAATCAGACCTGACTGGAGTGATTAATATGATTGTTTGAATAAAAAAAACTCAAATGTTCTCTCTCACACACAATTCTCCCTTTCTCATCTCTTGCACTTTCCACCTACCTTTTCTCCTCCCCTCCTCCCTATCCTCTCATGTTCTCTCCTCATGCTCTGTTCACTCCCACTACTATAATTCTAGAAGGTATTAATGGCTTTTGAGCAAGAGGGGCAACGATGATTAAGTGTCTTAGGTTTCCATTGGCAAAGGGAACTGCAGAAACAGGTAACAAGTATGTATCATCATTTTCCCCTCCAATTCAGTACCTTTCTTATTATTTTTTCTTTTTTGTATAACCCTATAAACCCTACATCAATCTGCAGATATCTCAGTCCATAGTGGCATACCACACAAATGCCAGTAAGCTGAAACCTGTTTATGCTGAGAATTAAAACCTTGCTCCAGGATTGTCCAAATTGTATATTAACAGATAACAGAAGTCAAATTTAGACGTGCTCAGCACTTAGAAAGACCAACTGACAAAAGTTTAGGCAGGTAAATCATGACTCAAGCTCAGTGAACATCATTTTTACATCCAAATCAAAGGCTATTTCAATGTTTTAAGGGTGAATTAGCTATTTTACCAGCTAACAATCAAAAGTCGAACACATGTAACTAAACTAAGAGTGAAAATCCTACTGGATGAACACAAGTATTTTACTGCTCACAAGATTCCCAGCCATTCACATGACATCATTGATATTTATCAACTCTATGCATATGTCATTGCAATATAGTAGTCTAGTTGACCACCATTGTCTCCCTTATTAATCATCAATCTTTTATTATCAGAAATAGGACATGTCATGGATGGTCTTAGATATTGGTTTTGTAATAATTGATGGCATAAAAGTTGGAGAAAAGATCAGACTTACGTGTTCCATTCAAGGTAAGCAATACCGAATAATATCGCCTGGTACGGGTGGTACGTACCGGTCCAATGGTATACCGGTACGCGGACCACCCGTTACCGGACGGAACGAATAATAATAATAAAATAATATTTTATTTATTTATTTATTTATATATTTATATATTTATTTATATATATTTTTTAGAAAAAGGCTCGGCGACGTCGCCGAGATGCTTATATATATATATATATATATATATATATATATATATATATATATATATAATTTAAATAAACGAGGCGACGTCGCCCCGCGTGGGGAAGGAAAAGGCGACGTCGTCGAGACGATGCGACGTTGGCTTTTAAATAAATAAATTATATATATATATATATATATATATAATATACCGAACGGTATACCGCTCAGTATACAGTTCCGTACCGTACCGAGCGAACGTCGAAACGCCGGTACGGTACGATATTTCGAACCTTGGTACCATTAACGTAAACTGATTTGCAATAAAAAATATATATGAACTAGATTTCTCTCATTTATGTGCTTAACTGCTCCATGGCTCCTTATCTAACAAGATTATGCACTTGCTTATTGTATATGTCTTCTTTGCACTGTTCTAATTAAATTTTTGCCCTAATTATGTCAATAATGAATGTAGTCCACCATGTAAGAGAAAATTGAATAGCATTGACTGTCATACTGACTGATACTATACAAAATGCACGATACCAGTCTGAGAACTGATTGAGATGCAGACCAGCCCGTTTCGACCAATATGCTGGAAACTTCAGGCAAACTGGTTGGTACGTCTCACGTATGGCCCGATACGATCAAAATTTGAATTTTAATGATTACTACAAGTCTGTAAGTTGGACTTCACCAGTACTGATGTCATTTCGATTGACACCAGGCCCGCATGGTCAATTGACCATTGGGGTCTGTTTTGGGTATATAAAAGGCCCTCCCTCCCCCCTATTTCACTCACTCTCATCCTCACTCACTTTCTCACTGTTTCTCTCTCATTTTCTTTTATTAAACTTGTTTCATGTCTCTAATTGGCGATTAGTGAAAATCAACCTCTTGTTTTGGATAACTCGAGATTGGGTGGAATATATTTTCCTTTTCATGTCATGTAATTAGCATAAAGAGTATTGGTAAGTTTTGATTGATTAGTGACTAATGATTAGCTAAGGCCTAATTAGATTTAAGAAGAATTAACTTAGATTAACCATGTATTGACTTCTTGCATGATTTATGAACTTATTCTTAGTTTCTAACATGTTTAATCAACAATTAGAGGCTTATTAATGCATGTTTAGGTACCTAATTCAATTTATATTTCAAAAAATTAGGATAAAAACCCCTGAAATAGGGTTTTATTTAATTTTGGCTGAATTTTCAGCCCTTTTTGGGTCTATTGCTACATATTGGTCTGACCACGGACCGACCCGTACATACTGGTCTGACCAAGGACTACACACCTGGTCAGCACGATTTACGTCAGCTTATTCAATTAGTCATCCTGATGGTACAGCACTGACAAAGAATGAAGCTACAGGCTCAGATTCATCAAGCCAAAATGCCTATGAAAGAGAATCAATCCATCTTTTTCCAATTGCAGGTCCCAGAACAAATGAATAAGGCGAACAATGTTCAACAGCAACTGGCACATGAATGCATTATAATAGAAAATAATATCTCTAACCATGGAATGACATCTAAATTGCGACTATGAAATGGACAAGGAGATAAAAAATAAAGTTATCATGTGGATATATATATATATATATATATATATTTATTTATTTATTTATTTATTTATATATATATATGCAAAAGAAGATCACAATGTACCTCAGTGAACAAATTGGGGCATTCAGCTATGTGCCGAGTAAAATTCATTGAAGCAGGTGATGCAGATACTTCACCAATGGTAATGTGGTTGAAGTAAAATGTTGCCAAGTTATCCACAGAAGATGCACACTGTTAAGGTAAATAAGTCCATCAGAACAAAGACAACTCATCATCAAGGACAAAAAGTTAAACACAATTGGAGGTTATGCTTCATGTAATTCAAAAGCACACTAAAATGAATAATAAACTAAATTATGAAATTTACTATGTTGAACCAAACATATCTGAAAAAAGAGAATATCATAAAAAAATATTAAAATTTATCACAAGACAGATGACACAAAACTACATAAATATCACATGGTTAGTGCAACATATACCTGTGAAGAAATACCAGTATCCAGTCCTTTTAAACCAGCCTCAAGCGAGCCGATAATATTCAGAAAGGTATTAGTACCAAGATTCAAAATGAAAGAAATATGGTTGCTGAACAAAACCTCCATGAATGCAAAATAAGCCTTTGTAAGCTGAAACAGAAACAAAAATATATCATAACTTTAAGATGAGTACCCGTTAATCATAAAAGATAACATGCAAAGTGCAAAAACAAAAAAAAGCTGAAACAGAAACAAAATTATATCAGAACTTCAAGATGAGTGCCCATTGATTATAAAAGAGAACATGCCACGTACAGCAAAAAGCAGGTACATAGTCAAAAAGTTATAAGGAGATCAATAGATTTAAGAATTATGAGACAAATGCTCTTGTTTGAGAATTTAAGCATGACTTCTTTCATAAAGCGCCAAGCACCAAAGAAAAAAATTGAGTTCGTATAAGAGTAAAAAAATCCATTAAAAGCTGAAGGATGTTCATGAGAAGCATGGGTCATGCCATACTGCCTCTGGGCCACTGCAGATACCAGTGTCAAAATCCAAAGCCAGCATTAGATAATCTCAGTTCCAGCTTATCTTATCACATAATCAAAAACCAAGTTTCATAGTTGAATTAAACGGTACTTTGTGGCTAGTTTAAAGGAAAAAGTCTTTTATTGTCTTCCAGAAAATAAAAAAGCAAAAGAAATAAAATAAATGTCTTAGAATGTCGTAACATGAAAGACTTAATGGTGAGCGTTGTGCCAGACTAAGATTGTTCCTTTGCAATCTGATAGATTAGGGTTCAAGTACAGAAACAACTCCATTTACAAGGGTAAGACTATATAAATAGACCAAGATCCTGCATTGGTGGGAGTTTTATGCACTGAGCTTGCTCATTTTTCTAGCTTAAATCAAATCCACAGATCAGTTTCATAGTAAGACTACTTTCTCAGGCATGATCAAAAGAAATACAATTTTCAGTTGGATTGGGCCCCTAAAGTAGCATCCATCACATGCCCAGTTCTAAAGTGGAGCAGACCAATCCAGCTAATGTCTAGTTCAATATTGACATCTTATTGAAATACAAATTATATAAGGAACAAATTTATATATCCAGTATCGTCTGAAGCAAGTATGAAACTTGAACATGCCCTTGCTTAAGGGAGGCATTTATTTGTACCAAGGTAATGGCTTAGGATATCAAACTTTAAGACAATTCTGCTTGTCAACATTGGGCAGCCACTAAGAGTCAACCAGTATGTGGGCCAAAATTGTAGATATATCCCTTGAAAATAAACCAACTTCTCGTTATCCAGACCAAGAAATCAAGCAGCCTGCATACTAGAGTTCCCATGAAGCTCTAGATGACTGGATAGGGAAACTAACCAGTACTTCAATTGCAAAGGATAGGCCTTGCTGAGAGAATAGGAACTTGATAGGACTTGCTATTCCTCAAATATGAAAAGGTTGCATAGGTTTTGAATCAACTAACATGATTTAGACCTTATAAGAGTATAATTAAGAAATCCCAAATGAGTCAAGCAAGCTTGAACAGACTGAAACCAATATAGAGTAGATGAATTGTAATGAAATCTTAATAGCAAAGGAATTTGGATATATGTACGCTAGAACAAGAAGATAAAGCTGGAGAAAGCACGAGGATAACAGTGGCAGAAAAACCCTGACCATCCAGAATCAACTAATCAAGGCTGGTTTTACTGAGTCATTAAGAAAAGTTTAAGGCAGTTAGACATTGACTTGAAGCAACCTGAGGTTTGAACCAACCTAACAGGAACTTGACATATATAGAACTCAAACCTAATACATCCCATCAGCAAAAAACTGCCTTTCCACCCCTTTTAGCTCTCCCACTCCTCCTGGTCGCTCCCCAATGTCCCTCTCTCCTTAGATCTTTTGGCAGTAAACACCACCTGTATAGAAGCAGAACAGATAGGTGATGCCGTGATGGTGGACAGAGCAAGCACATCAAGATGTGTCTCAATGACAATGAGATGGCAAGGATTGCAATCTCGGACACTGCATTCTGGTTGAACCGGTATAAGTCAAACAAACCGATGTACCAACACATGATATGTCAGTACATACCATCATAATAAGGGGGGAGGAGGAGGAAAAGAAGAGGGGGAAGAGAAGGAGAAGAGGTGAAGTGGAGAAGGCAGTGGCAAATGAGGAGGACGAGGAGGAGGCAGTGGTGAAGGAGGATGAAGAGGCAGCAACAGAGGAGGATGAGGAGATGGTGGCAGAAGACGAGAGGGAGGAGGTGGCGATGGAGGAAGATGACGATGAAGACAGGAGTACCACCAAAGTGCAGTGGGCAATGCAGATCCTACTGCCCAGTCCAGACCTGATAAATTAAGCAAAATTGCATTCCTTGACGGCATAATCAAGGATGGCAAAGTTCATGTGGCTCTCATGCTCCTCTTCCTGGAACTTAAGGGAGTTGCCATAGCAGGGCGACAATAGATACAGTACATGAGAGGGGTGTTAAAGCCAGTGATTGCATTTAGAATAATACGCCATTCAAGGATAATAAGTCATTCAGGATGGATCTGTGGCTTGTGCTACATGGTGAAGGAAAAGACAGTCAAATTCTGCAGATGAGAAAAAGGAAGCAGCAACACCAATCTGAACAGGTAAGAGTCTCAATGTTGATTCAGGCATCTGCAATATAGCTGCTAATAGGTGTGTTGTGACTAATCTGCAGGTGTAGAAACTGGCAAGGTACTGGACATTACATATTGATTATAGCCTTGGCAACATTGCAGACTGATCAAGAATTGCCTGGATTAACAGTTTCTGGCTGTATAATGGGAGAGAAGCAATAGAATAGTTGTGGAAGGGAATAAATAGGAAGAAAGTTTAGCGGGTCTGGTCATACTCTGGGAAAGCGATGTTTGAGAAATCGGAAGAATATTGAGAGGCTGTACTCAGTCTTTTAGACACAAGGAAAATGAATATTGCTTTATCTTAAGACTATTCACCAGTTCTAAAAACATGCAATTGCAACCCTTTATTCCTAGAAACTAACGTAAAGAATCCCTCCTGTGAGCTCTAGAGAAATTGTTGTTGATCTCTAACTTGTTGACCTTATCAGTAGATAATGTAGTTTTGGCATGGAGAATAATGTGTTAATTACATAAGCTTCAGATTGATAACTAATGCAAGGCATGTAAGTTTTCTGTTAGGACTAGCTAGGAAAGTCCTAATTGAGAGGGACATTCATGTAAAACCTACCTAAGCCGACCCCTATTAAAGAGGTGAAGAGGCCGACTAGGGTTAGGTGGTTGTTTCTTAGAGAAGAATTAGGAGTTGTAAAGAAATAAGAGTCTTGAGTAGAAGTCCTATTAGGAGTTGGTTAGAAGTAGGAGTCTTGAGTAGAAGTCCTATTAGGAGTTCGAATTTAGAAGCCCTATAAATAGTCATGTATTCCTACTCTTTTCATAAGCAATAGATGAATCTTTTTTGCAGCCTTTGAACATCAATTTGGAGGGAAGAACCCCTATAGAGTTCCAAGGAGGCTGATCCCCTAAAGAGATCAACCCCAAGTTTAGAATCCGCAAGGGTTCTAACACCTGGTATTAGAGCAGCGTTCTTGGCATCTCGCTGCCCTTCCACAGCCATCTATCAGCCCTCCACAACCGCCCAAAGCAATTCTTACAATTGCTTAAAAGATCGTCGCCAAATTCCGTCGTCATCTCCACCACCGCGGATCATCCTTTGATCTCCCCGTGAATTGCAACAAGTTCTGGTTTCCTACCTTACTGCTGCTGCAATTTAGTTATCCTTATTCGAAAATCCAAAAAAAAAAATTGTTCCAAAATTGCTGCATAAACTTTTCGTCGCAAAGTTTTTATCTCTACGACGAAAGATACATTGCAAAATTCCAGCCGCATAGCACAAGATTGTTTGATCTTGCTACTACGTTTTTTCTATCCAAATCTCTACGAAATTTTTATGACAGCTTTGACACTTCCTAACAGCAGATTTCCCTTTGGTTTTGTCAAAAAATTCTCAATATAAACCATTGATCTTTTACGTCTAAGCTGCTATACTTGAAAATCTGCACTGTAAAATTTCAGCCGCATAACACAGTTTGTTTGATCTTGCTACTACGTTTTTTCTGTCCAAATCTTTACAAAATTTTTATGATAGCTTTGACACTTCGTAACAGTGGATTTCCCTTTGGTTTTATCGAAAAATTCTCAATATAAACCACTGATCTTTTACGTCCAATCTGCTATACTTGAAAATCTGCAGAAAATTTCAGCCACATATTGTTGCCTTAACCGATCTATTTGTAATCCTTTTTGAACGAAATTTCTTATACACTTCATAGATCATCTTAGGCTTCCATCTAAGATTAATCTATTCAGGAATTCAACTCTAAAAACGATTTTGTGTTGCTGCAAATTTTCGTCGCAAACCACTGAAATTTTTCGACGAGAATTCTGCTACCGCAACTTGCACCAATTTCCTTGCTGTTATAGTGCCGATATTTTCTTGATTAAATTGGACATCCTTGCTGTCATATAAACTGAGATTTTGCTGTCAATTCCCTCCTCAAATCTCTCAAGTTTTTGGTGAAAATTTCGTCGAGAAACCATTGTTTCTTCAACGACAATTCTGCTCTTACAAGACAACACAATTCTGCAGCAAACTTCCACTGATTTCTATCAAACTTTTGCTGCCATCTACCACAGATCTAAAACTTTCATCCATAGCCCTAAAACTCCACCAAACCACACCCTCAAACTGCACCCAAAACAGCCACAAAACAAACCTAAACCGCAGCCTACGTCCACCAACCCTTTTAACCATCACTTCTCTCAACCTATATATGCCTTTAACCCGACAACAAAAGAGAGATCTTAACATCACAGATTTGGAGGCATATACTATGGCATCTGAGGAGGTAATCAATGCTAAATTCGAAACCTTCGAAGCGCGAATGGAGAATAAGATTCGGACTCTCTTTACCAAACTCAATTTGGGCCGACCACCAAGTCCGAAGAAATCACATCAAAAAGAGAGCTCTAACCAATCGCACCAAGCTCGAAGAGATGACTTCCAAGAGAGGAGAGGCTCTATGACCGACCCCAACTATCCATGCATGAGAGTGGACTTCCCTAGATGGGAAGAAAGAGACCCGATTGGTTAGATCTCACGCGTGGAGCGATATTTTCGGTACCACAAAACCGTGGATGTATCTATGGTGAAAATTGCAGCTATACATCTTGAAGGGGATGTCATACAGTGGTTTGACTGGTTTGAACACACTCATGGAGTCCTCTCATGGTGACAATTCAAAAGAAGGACTGCTGATCCGCTTCGAACCAACCGATTACGAGAACATTGACGGACAACTAGTAAAGAACCGACAAACCTCCACCATTCAAGAGTACCAAACCAGGTTTGAAAGGTTATCTAATCAAACTCGTTATTGGTCTCCAAAACAGCTATTGGGGACCTTCATTGAGGGCTTGAAGCCGGAGATCCGGGGAGAAGTTAAAGCGCAACAACCGTACACGCTTATGGCAGCCATCTCTTTCACACGATTTCAAGAGGAGTGATTGAACCATAAAGCCCGGAGGATTAGGGTTGCTCCCCAACCAGCAATACCGAAGCCCTCAGCCCCCCTTACTATCAACCGAGTCCCTGCACCAAAAAGTTTGACGAGAAGAACTTCGGGAGCGATCTGCGAAGGGGTTATGTTGGCATTGCAACGAGCCGTAGAGCCGTGAGCATCGCTGTAGCAAAGGGAGACTTCTTATGATTGAACCAGTAGAAGAAGAGGTCATTGAACATCCAGAAGAGAGCCTTGAACATGAAGAAGAAGATGCAGAAGAAGAGCCACAACCGACCGAAGTTACGGTACATGCACTAGCCAGCTACTCAAACCCGCAAACGATGAAAGTTGGAGGCCTTCTCAAACAACAACCGATCACTGTTCTCATCGACACGGGCAGCACTAATAACTTCCTAAACAGTAAGGTTGTTGTCTGGATGGCCTTACCTACCGAGAATTGCAGCAGGTTTGACATTAAGATCGCCGACGGATGGATTTTGAAGTATGATCGTAGGTGCCCGCGAGTGAAACCGTTGTTGCAGGACCAAGAGATAATTGCATATTTCTTCCTCCTCCCTCTTGATGATCATGAGGCCATGCTCAGAATTGAATGGTTGACGACATTAGGTGATGTTTCCTGGAATTTTATGAAACTAATTATGAAATTTTACAGTAAGAGGAAACAGGTGATACTGCACGAGAAACGTGGGGGCGATGTAACGACAATTTGCACACAACAAATGGAGAAGGTTTTGCATAAAGCATGCAGCGGCTTTTTGGTACAATTTGAGCAACAAACTAAGGGAGAGCCAATAGAATTTGAAGATCCAAACTACTTCCTTTGCTTGCTGAATTTTCAGATATATTTGACGAACCGCACAACCTACCTCTTACCCGTCGACATGATCATTATATAACGATTCTTCCAGGCAAACCACCAGCAAATACTCGGCCATATCAGTATCTACATCTCCAAAAGGATGAAATAGAAAGGATTGTAAAAGAGATGCTCGAAACAGGAGTTATTCAGCCAAGTTGCAGCCTCTACTCTTCACCGGTGCTACTTATACGCAAGGACGGAACATGGCAAATATGCGTTGATTACCGAGCTCTCAACGGCCTTTCGAACACACAACGGCCACTACGAATTTTTGCTTTCTGCAACAAAATGTGGAATATCTTGGGCATATCATATCAGAGGAAGGTGTGACGGTGGACCCCTCCAAAATAGAAACAATGCAGAACTGGCCTACCCCGAGGAACATAAAATTGCTACGTGGCTTTCTCGGTTTAACAGGCTACAACCGTAAGTTCATGAAAAACTATGGAAAGATCAGTGCACCACTCACTTCTCTACTGAAAAATGATACCTTCCAATGGTCGGACAAAGCCTCCGCTGCCTTCGACAAACTTAAAGCAGCCATGATGACGATGCCGATGCTAGCGCTACCAGATTTTAGCCGACCCTTCATCATTGAGGCTGATGCATCTAGAGTTGGAATTGGAGACGTTCTCATGTAAGATGGTCGACCACTCACATACACTAGTAAGGCATTGTCTCCCTCCCATCAAAACATGTCAACATATGATAAGGAGATGCTCGCCATTGTGCACACAGCAACGAGGTGGAGATCGTACTTGATCGGGCGATGCTTTCAAATCAAGACCGACCATAAAAGCCTAAAATATTTCTTGGAGCAGAAGATATCTTCCCCCGAGCAGCAAAAATGGGTAACAAAGCTTCTTGGATATGATTATGAAATAACTTACAAAAAAGGGAAAGAGAATGTTGTTGCAGATGCGCTTTCACGGCTACCCAAGTAAGCTGATTTTTTGGTCATTTCACTTTCGACTAGTGACTTCCTTAAGGATATTAAGAGGGAATGGCAAGAAGATCCGGAGACCAGTAAGATCATAAAAAAATTGGAGGAAGCCCCAAGCTCCGCGGCTCATTACAATTGGGACTCAAAAGAATTACGCTATAAGAGACGCATTGTGCTTATGACAAATTCTACTTGCATCTTCACGAGCAAATTTTAGACAAAATTATTCCATATGCAGGGTACTAAATTGAAAAGGAGTACGGCATATCACCCACAAACCGACGGCCAGACAGAAGTTGTAAATAGGTGCTTGGAGACAACCCAAAGCCACCCACCAAATATGACTACCCAAGGAGAACTCCAGACCCAGCCAAATGCCATTATTGATCGACGGATCGTGACTCGACGACAATGACCCACTACTAAAGTGCTAATACAGTGAGCGAACCTACCAACAGAAGATGCCACTTAGGAGAACTATGACGACTTGAAGATCAAATTCCCAGAATTCATGAATCGTCAGCCTCGAGGACAAGACTGATTTGAAGAGAGCGGGTCTGTTAGGACTCTAACTAGGAGAGTCCTAATTGAGAGGGACATTTATATAAAACCTACCTAAGCTGACCCCTATTAAAGAGGTGAAGAGGTCAGCTAGGGAGAGGAGGTTGTTTCTTAGAGAAGAATTAGGAGTTGTAAAGGAATAGGAATCTTGAGTAGGAGTCCTATTGGAGTTGGTTAGAAATAGGAGTCTTGAGTAGGAGTCCTATTAGGAGTTAAGGTTTAGAAGCCCTATAAATAACCATGTATTCCTCCTCTTTTCATAAGCAATAGATGAATCTTTTTTACAGTCTTTGAGCAGCAATTTGGAGGGAGGAACCCCTATAGAGTTCCAAAGAGGCCAATCCCCTAAAGAGATCAACCCCAAGTTTAGAATTTGCAAGGGTTCTAATAGTTTCCTCAGAAGGCCCATTTCCTCATAAGGCTGTAAGATAATGTGAATAAGTACAAGCTATTAGATCCCCAGAACTTCAAGAACTCCCATTTTAAGGAAACACTTACAAAAGAAACACACCCGCTGTTATTCTTTCCTTGCAAAATTGGAAAAGGGCCCAAAAAAGAAACAAAAATGTAAACTGAAAGAAAAAGGAACCCGCCCGAAAATGAATTAAAAAGGAAGAAAAACTAAAGCACTACATCACCGCTCAAGTACTAACCCAAAGTCCCTACCAAGAGGAATGTGCATACATTTCTCATAAAAGAAATGTTGTCCGATCCCAACAACAAAGGAAACAACACCTTCTTGAATGCATTAACAATTTGGCATAGTCTTTCCATCTGACTTATTTCAGTCATGTATTATTATGCTTATTATCAAATCAGTGGGATCTCATAACCTTTCGGTCCTTTCCAACAATAGAGTACTATTTTTGACAAGCAGATTCAATAGTGGCAGAATAGAAAAATAAATCATTTGGCATCTCCTTATACAGATCCCATAGCAGCAGAGATCAACTATTAATGTAACCTGAATTTATTGGAAATAAGTCATGACAATTTCAGGAAACAAAAGAAAGTACAAAAAATTATTTCAGGGTTTCGAAAAAAAGAAACATATGAACATGATGTTAAATAAGTCATATTTCCATGTAAAGGCTTATGTCGTACCTTTCGATATGCAAATATATCAGCCAGAGGAATTGACAATATCATCTTCAGAGACACATCAAGGGCATCCGTGAGTGCCCGATCACCATATAACTCAAAAACGCCAAAATTTACATAATTCCCAGATAGTGCTGTGATTTGTGATTGATAGCATTAGAGAAGTCATCAATACATAAAATATACACAGGTTTAGGAAAAATCTACATGACAAACAAGCTATAATGGGAATCGGATATAGGCATGAAATTTTCATAGTAATAAATAAAACAACAAAAAATTCTAGAAGAAAAATGGCAATAGATTGTAGATAACTATTCCTTCCCTTCTTGTAGTAACGAAGAAATGCATTATTACTTAGATACTATTTGCATGATAGATATAAAATGTAAATATCGGAGATCTAGACATCTATAAGTGCAAATATGCAGTCTTTGAAAAGAAATAATCTTATAACATCTTGTTCCTTAATATAAAGTGGTGCTGTAAACCATATTCATCAGTAGCATAATCAAAAGATCTCAACATTGTCACCTAAATGCCTAAGGTCATCTCTAAGCTTTTTAAAAAGAACCTTTGGAAGTTCACACTGTTCAGTAAAATATGGACAGTTTAAATGAGCAATAGTAAGCATAAGTTCATGGAACAGTCTAGCGTTGCCACATTGAGCTGTATACCTATGATGATTGGAACAAGGAACAAGGATCAGGATCAGTTTCACAAGATTAAAAAATCATTCATATTAAGACATAACCCATCCATGTGAAGAGTGACAAAATGCCATGTCCATGAGCATCTGGTTGGTAATAACACTTCAGTTTGTACCAAAATGACAAACCGCCTTAAATGTGGAGACAATTGAACATGTGACTACTTAGAAAAGGGAGGCAAAGCTATGTGGAATTTCCACAGGAACAAACAGACAGTTCTTTGTTTCTTCTCAAACCTCCCTCTTCTCTCTTCTACTCTTCCTCTCATGTATTATTTTTCTTTCTATTTTTTATGTTAATTTCTCATCATACTTTGGGAGAATCGCTGTCACTACTCATGCTCCCATGTCTTTAGTATTTGACAGTGCATAAAACAAACCATGACTAAACCATTTTAAATTTGGGCAGCCACCCACTGCTATAATTACGTATATTACATAGTCCTTAGTCACTATTTACTGTCCTGAGGTTTTGTGCCTGACAAGTTCTATATATGATTTCCTATTGCTTGTTTTGGAAGTTATGGAAGCCCTAATCAGTCTAATTACAATTATGTATACTCCTCCCAAATTTAACTTATGAAAATTTTCTTACTAATGATAATATTAGCAAAAACCTAAAAGAAAAAATTAGTCAATTAATAGTGTCCATTGACCATATTCTAGTTTCATCTAGGATTGTTAGCAAAGTTAATAAAATCTTTTATTTAATACTTTACATAAATTTTTTGATAGCCACAAAATGTGGATTATTAGGTTGATCTGTATGTGGCATGGACACTTAAAAAGTTTTGTTATGTCCATCCTGGACATTAATGCCTGCCCAATATCACTGATCAGTAATCAAGCAAATAATAAAATAAAATGAGTAGCGTAGAGTAACATGCAACCGACAGAAATTTAACTATATGAATGAAAAGGTCATAAAATGAACTCACCCCTTGAAAGAATGATTAGAGAGATCCAAATTCCTTTGTATTTGTTATTATAGATGTCTGTACTAATTGGACGAGACAGAATGCTTGATCCATAAGCCACAACTAACTTGCTTACTTCACGAAATAAAAGAATCCCATTAGGAGATGATGAATCAAAGCTCAAACGTTGAGCTTTGTTCAAAACAAATTCTGCCATGAATTTTAGCAGAGGTGTAGTGACCTGAAATATTTAATATGAATATCCCACTCAGACTCTGAGAAAGAACAGAACAAGGAAAATCTATTATTTTGCATAACAGTAGGAAAAGTAAGGAGCATAAATAACTTGATACACAAGGAAACAAGTTTTGCTACTCGAGTAATGAAAAGTCATCCAAGATTCAAGTACATCACCAGTAAAATCAAGCACACAAAAAATCACAAAAAGAATATAATGGCATATCCATGTACATAATCCTATTTAGTATAGTCTATGTCTATGAATATGACCATAGGCCAACATGTTTTTGCTGATAAGTTGAATCACAAATTTTTCACTACATGTAAATAAAGAAGAACAATCAGTAAACAGTTATGCTGTTTAATATAACTAGCAGGCATCAACTACATTGCAACCAAAGATTGAAATATCGTACCGTACCAGAGTTTTGACCTTCTCTCGGTACACGGTATGGTACGGTACTGTATACCGAGCGGTATATCGTTCGGTATATATATATACATATATATATATACATATATATATATATACTGTCTGATAGCGAGCGGTCCGTGTATCGATTTCCTGTCGGACCAATACGTACCGTCCGTACCGGATGGTATCATTGGAAACTGTATACCTTGATTGCAACAACATTTAGATATGACCAGAAAAAACAAAATTCACCAACCAAAATGTAAATTAGTGAAACATTATAGCAGCCACAATGTAATAGCCACAACCACTCTTACCACAGATGCCTATTGCTACACGGTTGTTAATGATGATAAGACTGAAGACTGTTATCATGTTGTTCCATCAATGGCACACTGTTATCAGATATCAAGCAAACAGTTTCATGCATGGGTCATTAGGAATTACAATCTTGATCTATAACCAAGTCACAACAAGGACCCTGCACCAAAGGAGAGGATGCCTTTGGACTGAGCTAAACTATTTTGTCACTTTTATCGAAGGTGAAAAGTAAAAAGGAGTGGAAACCTCTAGGGTTCAATCCATACCCAGGTCAGACTATCTTTGACACTATTTAACACAGATAAGAAGGATTACACCTGCCATAGAGTTTATTTAATTATATTTTCTGGTATTTTTCTTTAGTACGATGGATCAATTATAGAAACAATAATCAACAATTTGGTTGTTGATCTGATCTGATCTCCATCCTGATATTTTAAACTGGCATGTGTGTTTTAAAGACATGTTTGACATATGTGTTCATCCCACTAGGTATTCAATCAAGACAAGATTTCCCAGCATTTCCTTGAAGTAGAAACAATTTCCTCTCCATAGGCTAAGCTAGCATCCATGATTCTCTTGTCTCTGACATTGCAATCATCATATCCCTATCCAAAGAATGTCAACTTTCCCTAATATCAACTATTAATTAATTTAGCTTCCACTACTTAGGTAATGTCACTAAAAGCTATGATGATAAGTTATTTCCTAGGAAAATAAGCTATGTAGTCAAAAAGGTTGAACTTAGTTCCCTTACAAGTTTTGAGTCCAACTGAGTTCCCTTGCAATCATCATCTCTACTTCAGGAATGTCAATTAATCCAGATGTGCAACTTCCCTAAGTAGTGGAAGCAAATTAATTAATGACAACATGTTCACAGTGAGTCCTACAGATAGTGCTCGTCTTCCATAAAGACTTGTTTATTTAGATTTGTGCTCCTACCAGACAAACTGATAGTAAAATCAAGGATGATGAAGATGAAAATGTTGAAATAAATTTGATATCCCTTACCAAGGGTTGCCAATTCATGATATACCAGGATCCAAGTGAGAACTGGATGACCAGCTACCTCATAGTGAGTTGCGGTGCTGTTAACCAAAAAATTAAACCTGTGCCTCTTGTTTCGTACTTGGAACAGCTCAAACACTAAAACATAGATTAATTCAAACCAGTTTGTTAAATAATAAATAGCTCACATCCTGTTCGAGTTATCTCATGATTTATGATTTAAATGGCTTCATTCTATGAAAGCAGTAGTGGTGCACTCCTGACTTGCAATAGAGAAAAAAATAAAAAAAGAAGAGGCACAAAAAAAAGAATGACGAGGAAGATAAGAAGAGGAAGAAAAATAGTGGGGAGGATGAAGAAGCTCCAGACTTTCAGGTTTTCAGTCAATTCTTTGCTTTTCGTGCTGATTAGCACTGATCAGTATTACCATATGCCAACATGCTAGTCAAGCAATGGACCAGTACAAAAGGTCCAATAGCAAAATTTTAATCCTTGCTTCTTACATCAAGAAAATATTGCATTACTATGTTGGTACTTGAATTTTTTTCTTCAGGCATGTATCAATAGTCAATCTAATGATTGAAGTGCTATCAGCAGAAGTTTTGGCTGGCATCTAGCATGTTACATACAGCATCAATCGTCACATAGTAAATCTGTGACCCAGCATAGTAATCATGAAATGAACGTGGAAATACAATTACATAGACTTGTCTTTTTCACAAAACAAGATGCTCTTATATATTGATCAACAAAAGAAACAAAAAAGATAAAAGTGTCGAGCCTTCCATGTATCTACATCTTTCAAAGCAAAAAATTTACACAAAAAAATTAAATTACTAAAAAGATCATCTCAAGCCTTTAAGGCATTTCGTCCCAAGGACAGATTCTCATAAATTAAGTTTCAATATGTGGACTGAATATGTTTCTTGTACTTGGTAATTTCCTTTTCTTTCCAGGAATAGATAGTCAAAAAAATAATCAAAAAATAAATAATTTATAAATATGTGTGTGTGTGTATATATATATATATAAATATATATATATATATATATATATATATGTTACCTAATTTTCTCCAACAAAAGACTAATTCAATTTGTAAGCTTTTCACGATTAATCAAACTATGATAAATGAATAAATAATCATTCTAAGATACCATAATATGTAAGTAATGCATCAGAAAACAATAAATAACTATACAAGTTAGTTCAAACAAATAGTTAGTACCTTGCTCACTACCAAAAACTGTTCTTATAAATCAAATGACATTGACAATATCATCTTACGGTGAGGGTACTGAGAGGAATGCATCATATAGACACATTTGTCCAAAAAGAATAGTTAATACCTACCTTGCTAAGAAGATTGCACATTCTGCAGATCTGTACATCCAAATGATAAGGATATCAACGAAAAAAAAATAGAAGAGAGGTCATATGCATCATATCCAAGCTGTACAAAATAGTTGCTACTCATTTTGGAATGGGCCCTAAATCCCAAGCTCACTATATTACCATGCTCAATGCCCACAACTATTCCAACATCAGCAGCAGCATCTGACGTTTCCAGCAGAGCAAATCAAGATGACAAGCAACATAGAAGAAGAGACAGCCTGATAGCAATGCAGTAACCTATGTCCTAAATAAATGACATTAGTTGTCAGGACTGCCAGGGTTGGTTAACTTGAACAATTCAGGCCAGGAAAAAATAGAAGAGAGGTCATATGCATGATATCCAAGCTGCACAAAATAGTTGCTACTCATTTTTGGAATGAGCCCTAAATCCCAAGCACACTATATTACCATGCTCAATGCCCACAACTATTCCAACATCAGCAGCAGCATCTGACGTTGCCAGCAGAGCAAATCAAGATGACAAGCAACATAGAAGAAGAGACAGCCTGATAGCAATGCAGTAACTTATGTCCTAAATAAATGACATTAGTGGTCAGGACTGCCAGGGTTGGTTAACTTGAACAATTCAGGCCAGGACTCACCTTAGGCTGGTGGATCTGGGGCTAGACTTGATTGACATGGCACAATACTAGGTCAATCAACATGGCCCTTTGTCAGTCAGCACATGCCAAATATAGACCTATTCATAGGTGGGCACCTCTGGCATAAACCAACATGAAGCACATCATGACCATTTTAGTATGTTATGTTTTCCCCAGCACATGGAAATTAGCATGTCAGTCCATTTAGACTGTTTTCAATAAAATGGATTCCCAAAATCAAGTTTCAAGCAATCAAAGTTGAAACTCGAAAGAATACACTTCTGGTCTAAACAAACCAAAATTGGCATCTGGTTTCAAGCCTGCGGCTGTTTCATTTCTATTTCAGCTGAGACAGCATGCCATGAATCCTACAGCATGTAAGCAACACAAAGGCATGTTGACCATATTAAAAATAGACAGCCTAGTACATGAGATTCCCACTAATGCAAAATCTGGTAAATATATGCATCTTATTGTGGTTACTTAGGACAGAACGGTTGTTGCCCTTGCAGACTCACCATCCCATTACCCTTACAAGCGAAGAGCTGTTCCTACAGCTTTCATTGCCTAGTACACGAGATTCCCACTAATGCAAAA